AGCCAGAATTCTCAGAATTTGCATGAGGCTAAATAGGGGTAAGAATCCAGTGGAGAGAACCGCTTTGTTAATTCCAACATGGCTGCCGTGAATAAATTAACGCTCATCACGTTCGTGCAAAATCTTTTTACAATCTTTTAGCGTATGGATGTAACGAAAAATAGACCAACTATAAGTCAAGGAGACGAAAGAATATAAAACTTTTGTTCGTCGGTTGCAAATCTGAAAGAATGCCCAAAGATATTTTATCAGACGAGACATGACTAGACATGGCTTCACTTGGCTGCGGTCCAGGGCCAGTCCGCATATGTACAGAGACAGTGAACGACAAAGGCAACCGAGTATTTCCCCCTTTTGATTAATATTTATCCCGTTTTTTGTTCTGCTATGTTCGGCAGGATCGACATTGTCGAAATTTTCTTTTCCTTTATATAGTGAGCGTTTGTCAACTTTGTCAAATCAGAATGAAATTATAAGGAAATATTCACTTAGCCACAACGTTCTTGACCGGAACCATACCATTCATTGATACTGTTGCCAAGGACCACGTTTTAAGAAAGAAGGAGCCTTAAAATTTTCATGTTATTTTCCATCTTTGGTAATATGAAAACATATTTACCGTTTGGCCAACCTCCAAGCGTACCTCACCTGATTAGACTGGCGAGCTATCTTAGCGGCTGTCGTCCAAAAAGCAGGTGATTGGATATCTGCTATTAAGTACAACTTTAACTACTGTGACGGTTTTAATTAGAATATTTCGTATGTTACTGTTAAAAATAATATAAAGAAGGCGTAGGATTTGTGAACTTGTACTCTTTATTGTTTTATTAATTTTGTGCTACAAATAAACACAGAATATTTGTACAAATTTGAGGAGCTGGTCAGCCCGGCCGTAACGGAATTCGAATGAGTCATTACATCCGAGCATCTGTAGTTTTGTTGCACTTTCTCATTTAAATGATTTGCTGAATAGATAATAAAACTGAGAACAAGGCTTAACACTTTTAATTACAAACAGTAACCACAAAGGACTGCAAAGGACCGCAAACGAATATGCCGAAGAACGTAGGATCTATAAAGACCTGATCAGCAAAAATGACAAGTAGACATATTTAATTGTGCAAGCAGAATACTGCAATACCGTACTACGTGAAAATTAACTTTGCAAGACATCAACACGACACCGAAAGAACTCAAAACAGAGCGGGATTGTAGCCATAGACAGCTGTTTCGCTCTTTATGGGGCTCGTCAGTATGGCGTAACAACCAGAGAAAGCTCTGATGCAAAATATCCGCTCACTCTGACCTAGAACCCTCAACACCCACAGAATCACGCCATACCACGTGTCTTCTCGGGGGGGGGGCAAGAGTCCAAGTGTCAAGTTGATGTCTCGCCTAGAAAATAAAGGATTAGCCAAAACCAGCCTCTAAAACATGGACAGAACTATGGGGCGATCCATGGTATGGCGTGGTTCTGTTAGACTACGAGTAGTCCCTATTTTTCCTCAGGGATAGTAGAGCGAGCAAAACGCGAGCGCGCGTGAAAATCACCCCACGCTAGAAAGGCGAGACGCCGCGGTGAGAGAGAGAAATGAGGGACTACTGACAAAGCCCAAGTTTTTGACCTTTTACGGCCGACTGATTTTGAAGTGTGAAGTTCGTATCGCCTTTCAAATCAATTGAGCGCATCCAATGGGGTTCCTTCTCTCATTGAACTGTTATTGCTTTTGTCATCGGTAAACTGCGGGAGATATTTATCACAAATAAAAGAAAACCCAGATGCTAATTTTCTTCGCGGCTGTTCCTCGTGAAGAATTTGATAGTGAAAAAGGGGTTCGGTAGGCAACACACGACTTTTACCTCATGCCAAAATGCTGCTGGTTCCAATGACTTTTTTCCTCTGACGGATAGATTATGCTCTGGAGGAAAACATTTTGATTGAGCGAGTGTGAGTTTTGCCGCTTATTACATGCTAAGAGGTCGTGACACGCATATTAATTTTCTGCGTTTATCGTTTATGGTCGGCATGATTTGCCCGCTGATGGAAGAGCATTTTATTTGACCTCTTTGAAAAGTGAAGCTCTTCAATGCAGCTAGATAAGGGCTTTAGGTTGCTTAATTTTTCGGGCAATCCAAATCTGGATTGCAGCTTAAATTGAAGCTATATTAACTATGGAGAATTGAGATGTGACGCAGTTATGATTGCTCTTAAAGCAATTCAGTGTAATTTTAACTCCCGCTTGTTTTTCTAAGGATAATGTGAGTGTTTGGACTGGAGCACGTATTAACTTTTGAATTAGCTCAACAGCCTGGGGACTGTTCTTTTATTGTCACTTTGTGATCAGACAAGACCATGGTTTTAGTTCTCCACGCGAACCTCATCATTTAATTGCCGGGTTGGCTTTCTACTTAGTTGCGTCGACAAGAGCAACTCTAGTTATTGGTTCTGTGCTGTTATTTGTTCTGCTCTAGTTATTTTTGTTCTTTAAATTGTGATTATGTCGAGTGTTGATAGCGGCTGGCGCGTTTTAGACAGATGTCGACAGATTTCCCTGGAAGAGCCAATCAGAGTTTTGCGTTGTGAGAGCAACGCATAAGTTCAAAAGCTTGGGCTTTGTCTGTAGTCCCTCATTTTTCCTTCCCACCGCGTCTCGCCGTTCTCGCGTGGGCTGATTTTCACGCGCGCTCGCTTTTCGCTGTGGAGGGTTCTAGGTCAGGGCTTATAAAAAAATCAGAGTGCGCGCATATTTTCCATCGGAGCTTTCTCTGGTTGTTGCGCCATACTGACGAGCCCCCAAAAGGGTGAAACAGCTGTCTATGGCTACAATCCCGCTCTGTTTTGAGTTCTTTCGGTGTCGTGTTGATGTCTTGCAAAGTTAATTTTTACGTGATACGGCGTTGCAGTATTCTGCTTGCAGAATTAAATATGTCTACTTGTCATTTTTGCTGACCAGGGCTTTATAGATCCTACGTTCTTCGGCATATTTGTTTGCTGTCCTTTGCAGTCCTTTGTGGTTAATGTTTTTACCTTATGTATTTTGGGGCCGTAGATCTTTCATAGATCCGATATGCTGTAATTCTTGCATGTTTCTGTCCATGTTTTAGAGGTTAGTTTTGGCCAATCCTTTATTTTCTCTGCGAGACATCAACTTGACACATGGACTCTTGCCCCCTAGAAAACACGTGGTATGGTGTGATTCTGTGGGTGTTGAGGGTTCGGTCAGGGCTTAATCAGAGTGCGCGGATATTTTCCATCAGGGCTTTCTCTGGTTGTTACGCCATACTGGCTACAATCCCGCCCTGTGTTGAGTTCTTTCCGTGTCCTGTTGATGTCTTGCAAAGTTAATTTTCACGTAGTGCGATAAGTATTGCAGCATTCTGCTTGCGGAATTTAATGTGTCTACTATGAATTAAAATACAGCAAAGAAGACTGCTCTTTTGAAAAATTTCGCTAGTTAAAATTTAAGTAGCGTAAGGTAGTTTTTACAATTGTGGAGGCAATCCTGACATAGCATAGAAGTAAAAAGAAGTCTACGATTGAAAGTTAAGAGGATTTCAAGCAACATTATTATTTCTTTGAAGGACGTTAAAAGCGGAGATCTTTGTCTTGGCTCTAAAAAGGAAAATGACAGAAATGTAGAGTTACTCAAAGCAGGTGAGCACGTAATGAACAGTGGCGGATCCAGGGGAGGGGGGCACCCCTTATATTTAGACGATCTGCCACTGAAAGTTACTTGCTTGACCATTTTTTTCTTATGATGTTTTCAGTACAAAAAACCGCTAACCAGCTGTAGTAGACAAAGAAACAGTTTACAATGCTGTTTATATCTTTCCCCACCCCCTTCTCCCCCACCTATCATTTCCCATAATTCTCTCCGTGTCATAAAACACTATTACATTTGAAATCTGCAGTGCGCGCGATAGAAGTTGTTTTCCGTGGTCGGTTAATTTTCTAGATTTCTTTTTGGCCACTTCTAACAAAGTTTTTCGGAAGGCATCATTAAGCCCAGGTTAATTAAGCCTTATAAAGGAACAAGTCTCACGATTGGCAAAGTCTGCCGTCGTCCAATATGTTACCGTTTTTCGTTATTTTATTCCCCTCAAGAGTCAAATTGTTAAAACGCTCTTGAAATTTCTGTAAGTACTTTTTGATAAATTCAGACAGATACTGACATGCACCATTAGATCAGCGCACAAATCAGTCTTTTGGAAGTGCTGATTAATTAGCTCGGCCGCTGATTAACAACAGAGAACGAAAAACAACAAAAAAGAACGAGAATCTGAAGGGATGACGCCCTTTCTTCCTAGTTCCAGCTCGTTTATGCGCACGTCTCTCTCGAAAATGGACCAGAATAATTGACTAAAACTCGTTGGTAATGGCTTCAGTAACGTAGCTTTAAGCAGGGACTCAATCAGCACTTTTAGTCTTCTCCGCTTTCACGAAAGCGCGGGAAACTCGTCACAAACGGAAATGGATTTCATGTGACTCTGTATCTCCCCATGTAAGGTAATCCAAGACAGTTTCCAGCCCAGTTTTTCGAAGGCCGGTTAGCGCTTAACCCGGTACGTTCTCTTTTTCTTGTGTTCTAAAGAATTTTCTCGGATAATTTTCTCTGTTATTTTTAGAGCTTCCGATCCAGTCATCTTGTAGACAAAAAGAATTATAACTGAAATGCTTTTTAAGCTTTCAAATCTGAATTAAAATCTCGCACTAACCGTGGGTTATCTTAACCCATCTTTGAACAACTCGGCCGTGGCTTGGATTTTGGACTCGGCCACGCTGTGGATCCCGGATTACAGGTACTAGATTCGGGATTCCTTGTTAGTGGAATTTGGATTCCTGATTCTAGTCGCTAACGGATTTCCGGATTCCATGAGCTGAATTCCGGATTCCAAAGCGCAGACTTCCGGATTCTACAAGCAAACATTACCAGATTCCGAGTCCACAATCTCCACCTTACATAGGGTGACTCTGAATTCTGCAAACATTCGCAATCTGCTCAAATTACCACCAACCTTCGAAATTTATTGGCAACGCTTTGTTTAACTCTACGCTTCCAGTAGATCTCTACAACCAGCGTGATGAATGCCATGATAATTCCACCAGCAAGTACAATATAAACTCCCAGCATACTCTTCAGACCGATTTGCCGACGTGATATAACTGAAACATAAAGAAGGCAAGAATATAATCCTTTTATCAAATATAACCCTTGTTCCTGGTCGAAGAAATGATGTAGATGATTCAACTACGAGAAAAATATATGAGAACAGATCTGATTCCATAGGATCCGGTAGTGTATTATATTTGATTATAATTCATTCAAAATATTTATTCGTCTCTGATTGGCTAAAATCACACGCATAATTTATCATAACCAGCTACTGTTGACCAATTTGGAAGAATTTTGCCGTATTCAACCGATGACGTCAAACAAAGATCAAAGTTGCAGATTATTCAACCGTTACAGAGAAGACCTGGGGACGAGGTTAAGTTGTTTTGGTGGTGAATACGCTGTGGATACAAAATGGCAGAACGTTTTTCTCGTATCACCAGGAAGGAATAGGCGAGCTTTTGGGTAAAAACATAGCAGAACAGTAAGAAGGCAACACGAAGGACGACATCTGCTATTTGGAGAATATTTGCGGAGCTGAACATTCCTATATCTCCTACACTTGCCGATTAACGTACACTCAAGATGAACTTTACATCGCTGGAGGTAAGTATGTTTTAGCTTGTTTTTAAACTAGGAATTATTTTGAACGAGTAATAAAGCAGTTATTGAATTCGTCTTTCGTAGGATATGAAGAATTATGCAGATATCGCAGGGTGTTATCCACCTCGGCCTTCGGCCTCGAAGCACCCTCCTTGATCTGCATAATTGTTCATATCCTACTCAGCGTCATTCGATATTTGCTAATTATGACGTTGTCATGAAATTATATCATTCTATGTTCACTGGCCACTGAAGCAGAAAAACATGCCTGGCCAAATATTGGAGAATTCGGATAGTCCACCAAATATTTGGAGAATCCATCAATATATTTTGACTTTTTGCCATACACCATTTTCGGTAACAAATATGTGTTAAAAAATTAGTATCAGACAGTATACAACTATTTTGATTAAATGTTGCTAATTTTTCATGAGAGCACGCAAATAAGAAGTAACTTGAAGAGCGGTTTTTAATCATGGGAAGTAGTGTCACTAAGATCTTTCTAAGAGTTACGATGTTATTATTTAACAGTATCTTTGGCTTAGGATGGATGAAAAACTGAGGAATGAATGCAAACCTTGAAACGCTTGACTTTGTCATCCGGGAAAGATCGTTCAAAAATTAACCTTTAGCAGTGCCTTTGTTAACAGGCTGGGAAATGCATTTATTACTTTCTCTTGCTGTTTAAAGGTCATGTTGTGTTTCAATCCGTAAATATACCTCCTCAACTGAAACTTAAGTTTACTCAAAAACCTCTAGAAAAATTCTTTATCTCGTGAAACAACCACATCTCTTTACTGAGTAGCTGTTTTTAATTGTCCCTTAGCAGGAATCAGTTGGTTTCGGGTAAAATTATGTCTTTTTTTCTAAACAAATTTAAAATAAGTAATTAATAGTTGTTTCTTACCCGTATCTTCTTCTTCAGGGCAGCTACTTGAGGTTTCCCACCATTTGCGTCTAAGTCCATCAAGGAAATTGTTTTCTTGCAAGCGCAGAATAGTCAGAGTTAACTCTTTGGTATGCGGATTATTTGCTTGCAGAGCGAACGCCATTCCTTTGGCCGTGTTAAGACCTGGAACTATGAAACAACATTGTTTTTTTTTACGGTGTTAAAATATAATTTAATTTGAAAAACGTGTTTCCTCTTAGGTGCCCCAGAGGGCGAACACGTTTTTTCGTTTCAGCAAGAGCATCTTTAACTCTCTCAACAATTCCGAGACACTTATTAAATTATGATTAATTTCAATTGAGCTTTTTACCGATACGCAGGCCATATTGAATTTGTTTGATTTTTTCGCGCTTTTCGGGCAAAAAGAGAACTGCAACGTATATTTCTCGGGAAAAAGGCGATCATTATTACATCCAAAGACGGCACAACCATGTTTTTCCTCTTTACAATCTTTTTCTAGGGAAACTTAAAGAAAAATTGGCCCGAAAAGCGCGCATAAATACTGATGGAAGTAGATCAGATCGTGCTCATGATTCCCTGAGCATCCCATAATACTCCTTAAATCCAATTAATTCAATATGGCCGCCGTATCGGTAGAAAGGTCTATTCTGAATTAAACAATATACTTTTATGTCTACACACATAACGGGTAGCTATTCAGTATATCATGAACAACAACACCCCGGGACTGGAACCGAAGCCGTTCGCGCGCATCGGAGTACCGAACATCGTGCCAGAGCGGTTGACCGAGAGGGTTTTGGTGCACTGAATTCCACTCCTCACTCGTCCTGAATATTTACTTCCACCTCCATGATTTCCAGTCTGCGCTCCTACTTATTCACCTCCGCTACGGAACGAATAACCTGTTCACATTGCATCAAAGTGTGACACAAACCTATCCGATATATTACGCTTTACCTTGGAGACAGGCGAGGCGCTCCCTCGCTCTTTTACTGAAATCGCGTTAAAATAACCTTTTTTATGTGTGAATAGAAGCCCTAAAGTATCTGACACGGTTTTGGTGCTTGGGCCTGTTTTTCGAAAGTCCCGCTAACTTTTCGGGCCCGGAAAGTTGTTTTCTGTTTGTTGTGTTTGCGTTCAAGATCAAAGTTTTAATAATTTTGAAAATAATACAATGCAACTGTTAGTGAACGAAGCAAAATTGACTGGTTTGTGGGCTAAGAACTGTGTTACTATGTAACAGGTTTTAATTTCAAATTTCCTTTCGGGCCCGAAAAGTTTCCGGGTCTTTCGAGAAACAGGGCCCGGTTGCACAAAACGTCCGTAACAACTGCGGGTACACGTACCTGCACTCGTAACTTAAGTCAGTTGCATGAGATCACTTAAGTGGTCCACTTAGGGAATTCACTTAAGTGGTTGCACTTACGATTTTCGTAAGTATTCACTTAAATGTCGTTTATGCAACAGAAGTTGCGGGTGTTGCATAAAACTTTTTTTACGGGAAAAATAGCACGTAAATTTACGGGACCTATGTAGGTCCCGTATCGTCAATGTTTTTACTAAATTTGACGAGATCTTTTACTGAGAAGTGAAAAAAAGTATTTTTCTTCACGTAATTCGTTCTAATGCGCTTTGTTAACCTCTGATGTACACTTTTGTGAAAAAAGAAGAAGAACTATATCAGGCTGGGCCCGGTTGCATAAAACCTGCACTTAAGTGCTCACTTAAGTAGGTCACTTACGAATCCGTTATGGGTTCACTTACGGGTGTTGCATGGAACACACTTAGCACTCTCGTAAGTTTCTGTTTTACGTGGTAACTTACGGGCTCACTTAAGGGCACACGTAACCTTGATATAGTACTTTATTAACGATTCACTCTTTTTTTTTTAAGCTAACCATCGGTGAGTGTAAAGAAAGTTAAAGTCGTTTCCAACACTTTTAAGCCTCTCAAAAAATGAAATTTGCATGCAAACGTTATTTTTCTTCAATATCTACTGAAAATGACAGTTCTTCTTCTTTTTTCACAAAAGTGTACATCAGAGGTTAACAAAGCGCATTAGAACGAAAGATACTTTTTTTCACTTCTCAGTAAAAGATCTCGTCAAATTTAGTAAAAACAGTGACGATACGGGACCTACATAGGTCCCGTAAATTTACTATTTATTTCTACTATTTTCTACTATTTTTACTATTTTTTCCCGTAAAAAAAGTTTTATGCAACACCCGCAATTTCTGTTGCATAAACGACACTTAAGTGAATACTTACGAAAATCGTAAGTGCAACCACTTAAGTGAATTCCCTAAGTGGACCACTTAAGTGATCTCATGCAACTGACTTAAGTTACGAGTGCACGTACGTGTACCCGTAGTTGTTACGGACGTTTTATGCAACCGGGCCCTGGGGCCCGTTTCTCGAAAGTCCCGATAATTAACGGGCCCGGTAAGCCGTCTCCGTTTATATTAAAGATCGAGGTTTCAAAAGTTTTGCATCTAGCATTATAAAACTATCAGTTAGTGAAACAAAATGGAGTAGTTTGCTAGCCAGGACCCGCGCTCTTATTCTTTATATTTCGATTTGAATATTTGATTTCGGGCCCGAAAAGTTACCGGGACTTTCGAGAAACGGGCCCCTGGCCCGCGAACTATCCGTTATAGTGTGCGCACAACCTAAGCTACCTGTTGTTAGGTCGCATGGTGGCTGGTTTGAAGTATATTTAAGAGCCGGTCCGTCATGTATGAACACAAAGTTCTCTCTCTCTCTGACCCACTGAATTCCCTGAGATGTGCTTTCGACAAATGTATTTCCTGTTCGCACTCTTTGCCAAAGTTTTTGATGTGTCTCATACTGACTTGTCTCAAACGCATCAGACACACTTGATGATCCAAGGATGCCAACCTGATAAGTAGACTTTGCAAGTTCTTCAAGATTATGAATGGGATGTTCAGTGTTTTTTACGGTAAAAAATGCGGCCAGGTTGGCTGTGTAGGTTGAGACCCAGATAAGGATACAAAACCAGTAGCAACCAGCAAGAATGCGACCTAAGGGAAATACAACTGAACGTTAATTCATGAAATGGGCACTGAATCATACAATCATGAGTCTGTTTTGTGGCGACCATAAATTTTGAATACGCGGTCTCCTTGTACGAAGCCTTTATCGAACCAAGGAATCTTTGAGAACAGATCGTAGCATCTGTTCCAGACCACAGTAAATTTTGGGTGCAAGACCTTGCACAAACTAACTACGTATTTAAAGTTTATTTAGTAGCCGCCACAAAAACAAATGCATCGATAAAGGGAGTATTATTCATTTGGTAAACTTATCGTTTGTGATTGTTCTCTCTGCAAATTATATTTGAACGACGCGCAAATGTGCATTGCTAAGTAAGTTATCGTAAATGCGATTGTTCTCAATTCGATGTCATTAACAAAAGTAGTCTGAAACTCAGAAGCGGCTTAACAGGAATTCCAACTCAGTTTTCCTGTTTGTACAAAAATAACGGAGTAATAGAGCCTTTTTATTTGAAACTCTCAATATAATCGAATGAAAAAATTTCTAATCCAAGATCAGACTAACCCGACAAGTTTCGAGGTGTATTATCACCACCTTGTTGTAGCATACAAGCAAACGCAAACCATAAGCTGTTAAGATAGTTGAACTCCTCCGAAGTTCCTGTGCCATTCTCGTCTTTGTAGCCATAAGGGCTGAAGTAGTTAATTACAAACACAGCGACCGAGATGAGTAGAACTATTGCCAGAGTGCAACACCAAACGTAGTTATCAAAGGGATTCATAAATTGTAGCAAATCGGTTTTGCCTTCGGATGACCATTTCTTCAGCAATATGTCTTCCGTGTAGAACATGTAGGGAACTGTAAAGTCTATTACCTTTTCACGAGCTTCAGTTACCGTCAGCGAAGCTACAGCGAAGTCAGCTCTCTTCAGAGAAAAAGGAGAATATAATTGAGAACAGTCCGTTTTCATTTTATACAACACGGTCTGATAGAACTGTAATTAAACGCATGAAACTCGCCTGTTAATCTGTCTTAAGCCTTTCACTCCCAAAGCGTCCGAAATAATGATTGAACAAAATTTCCAAAAATCATTTTGTTAAATGCCAAAAATCAAACAGTACAACTGGACATTACTTCCTAACAAGTTCATTGAACGGGTCACACTACACAGGATTAATTTGTCCACAGACTCAAAAGTTTAAACATACGTTTCAAGACTTTGATTCCCTTTTTCCCTTAGTGGAGAGGTCAATGAATATGACCATGCAACAGAAATAGTGGAGAGTGCACGATCCTGATGCTAAAAGAAACATGTCTTGAACGGTTCTGACGTTATCAGTGATGTAGTTAAGATTTAGAAAAGCTACGTTCGAACTAAAAAGATTCAACGTCTTCAGGGGATATTGGTCAGGCCGCGAATATTTGGCGAAGGGTCGATTTTGGATATTTGATTTTTTTGAAATATATATTTAAAATAACTATTTATTTCATGCGACATTTCCGCATATCCTGCGAAAACAGCCGTTTCTCCTCGCTCCTTGCCGCTGGGGACGCTTCGAGAGGAGTAACGTCTGCGACTCAGCGACTGATGACGTAAATCAATGTTTACACAAACTCGGAATTCATGGGGTTCCAAATGCAAATTTGTTCGATTTTACGTTTCTCCTGGTCGATTTTTGTAAAGTGTTATGTTCATCGGCGAACGAGCTCCATCAAAACTCAAAAGCTTCTTCTCGAGAAGAATATATTCCACAAATATTGACTGTTTTGTTATAGATTTATCACGTTTGCATTTGACCTTTGTAGCCTTTTGTCTTTTGTCTGTCATTCCTAGATAATAGCTGAAACAATGTAACTACTCCGTCGTCCAATCAGCGCTTTTGACCAGCTTCCGGACAGATTTTACGTCATCAGTATGCAATTTCTGTCGCTGAGTCGCAGACATTATTCCTCGCGAAACTTCCCCCTAGCGGCGTAGAGCGAGGAGAAACTGCTGTTTTCGCAGGCTATACATTTAGGTGTTGATTTTTATGAAGCTTCAGCGATAATCCCTCGATTTTGCATTTTAATGGTCACATTCAAATGTTACACGACCTTTTATTTTACAAACCTTCTCTACTAACTCTCCAATCATGCCATTCCAGCTTTCATTGTCCGTTTTTCCGCCATATAAACCATCTGGAGAGTAGTTTATTTCAAACGTAAACTTGAGAAGTCTGGCCAGTTCAAGAAGAAGATCGATGCAGAAACCTTTGTATGGTAAAGTATCATTACTTTCTTTCTTAATAACAAAAGGATGATCCTAGAGAAAAGTAGATAAATCAGATTCGTACTTATCGATGCAATGTACAAATCAATGATGTTGGCTGAAAAAAGTTATGTTGACTCTTAAAGGAAAAACTTGGAAGTGTTGTTACTGCCGGATTTACACGAGGTCATCACTAAATTATCGATCCTCTTTAGTTTTTAGTTTCATGAAGTATTAGTGCAGCTAAAAGCTAATATTTACACAAATGTTCACTTCGAAAGGGCCCATCGTTTTGTGATACAGTACGCTTGAATTTCTAAGCTTTTACATAACGTGGTATTGCTGGTTTGTACTTGACGTCACGGCGGCCATATGGGTGGTGTGTTAGGGTTAACAACAAAAGCATTTCTCTCCTCTGGAAAATAAACCCTATTTTATTTCTGGCCAGTTGTTATATTGACCTATAAAAACTTATAATGAAATATATATCACTCGTGGTATCTATGCCAAATACCACTACTAATCAGGCTGTTACCTATACAAATTCTTGGAGAAAAATTCTTCCTCTGGGGTCGAGATTGCAACGAACATGCGTGAAAAGCCATAGAGATGCAACAAAAAGTTTGTATAGAGTGTCAATCACTCCTTATTTATTGTAAGATATTTATTACTGGCCTTACCTCGACAACAACAACACGCAACTTTTTTCCTTCCAGAGTTTCTCCTGAGGAAGAGCTATTAACTATGTTGGGCGTGATGTTTCCAAACATAACGGCTCGTCTTGTTAAGTTCCACATACCTTTCTATGGAACGATAAATCAGATGTAATAAAAATCGTAAACCTTCCCGGAAACACTCCCGGAACTTGCTAATTGTCAAGGTTGCTGTAGGATTGAGCATCAACAGAAGCCTAGCAAATTCAGTTGCTTTTTATCATTTGCTACTTACCTTTTCAAAGGAATTATTTTGTAGATTAAAAATTTCCAAGTTAATCCCCTCTCTGTGTCCATTTTCAGTGAATTTAACAGTTCCTGTCAAGCCGTTAAGATTAACCTGAGGAAAATAAATGAAAATTTAATTGCAAATTGTGTTTCTAGGTCGTCCCAAGTTTAAATCCTCACCCAAGCTGGTAAAAAAGCTATCTGCTTACCCGGGTCTTTTAATCCGTTTTTTACTATATTTGTATTACAATAAACACCTGCTATCAAGAACTTACTTTCTTTGAAGCTTGGCAAGATAGTTTCTTGTATTTTGAGGTACTTATTGGCAATTTAGGCTAAGAAGGTTCTTAAATTAAGTACTTAATTTTTGTGAAGGAGATAATAGATTGTTTTAATCAGAAAAATAAATAAACTACTAATTTTTGCAGAATTTTATCATTGTAACCCTTGCAAAACTGATTACCGAGTTTATATACAATTTAGTACAGTAAGTTCTTGTTACACTTAGATTTACAACTCAACTGTACAACTGTATTTGTTTCCGATTATTCAAGTGTAGTCAAGTAACACACTGCACTTCCACCATAAACAAATCAACTGAAAGCATTTATGTTACTTTAATACTTATTTACTTTAATAATGAAATTTTACAAATATCAACGAAGTACTTACCTGTTTAATGCAGGTTAGTATGGACTGTCGTTGCTTTGAAGTAATATTTGTTCCGTTTATTGATGAGCAGGGCACTGTGCTCAGGGCCTGATTAATAACTTGGACAGAATCGTAAGCAAGGGCAATCGTTTCCTAAAGGATTAATTTTTTTTGTATTAATTAGATTTCACGTCGGCCTCATTTCATAAAAACTACTGTTTATAAAACATATTAAAGTGAAATAATAATCTCAGAGTTTTTCCTTGCACTCAGCTAGCTGTTGTACACACAACCAAATTTTTGTCGCATTATTTTATTTACCAATGTTAACTGGCTACTCTTGTTTCAGCTTACACGAAATAAAATTATGTCTATTTTGTTACACAAGTTATCTTGGGTTAGGGAAAAATTGAATTGGGATAGGAGTTGTTGTTAAACATACCCAGTTTACCAAGCGCAAATCCTATCCTGAAAACCCAAGACAGCTACTTTTTTGGAAAGAAAAAAAAAAAAAAAATACACACCTCAGCCCATTAACTATTGTCATTGAAGATACCTTATCTGTCATCTTGTACTTTCCTAGTGTAACATTTTCCAGTTCCTTAGAAGATTGGCTCTCAACGTACGGAAGTTTCATTGCTATAACCACGTTATTTGGATGGCTTTTCACTTGCATTGGCACCTAAAAAGTTAACAAAGAAATAAAATTTCTTCTTTACTCTAGAAAAACGGCCGGGAATTGTATTGCCAAGTCTTGCATTCTCGTCTTCTTGTTAAAAATAGCTTCAATGAATTTTATTTTGCTAGAACTAAAAAAGAGTCATTTGAATTTTAATGAAAGAAAAAAAAGTTAATCATCTGCCTTACCTTTCCTTGGAGAATAATTCTGTAGCCTTTGTAGTGCTGACAAGATTTCTGAGGAGCGAAAATAAAGAGGAATCGAAGGTAAAGTTTTGTTGGCAATTCGTTCTCTAGTTGCTCTTCTACGAGTCCATGTCTGGAGACGATCAATGGACGAAGAAAATCTCTTCAAAACAAGGGCCTTTCATGTGAATGAAATATATTTGATATATATAAAAAAATTCAGACTAAAAATATCAATAATTACTGACATTTTGCTGCAATTTTTTTTTCCACCATGCAAACAGTACAGTGGAGCGCACTGATTTCCATACAACTACCCCGTTATTTAAGGTCCGAACACCATTTGAAGGACCGAGCGCGAACTTCCAGTCGTCATTTCCTTATTACATATCCTCGTTAATCCAGCTATTGGTTTTGTACCACCAAGGGTCACCCTTTCGAGTCCCCTGACTATATTTTCTTCATAATTTTACCTCCTAAATACGACTAGTTGAGGTTCTGGGTGAGAATATAGCCTCGTTTATATGGAGAAAAGTTGTAAAGAGGGTCACACCCTTCCCAGTCGAATCAACTTTAGCATGTTTAGCGACCCCTTTGCCCGAGACAAGAGCTGACAACAGCGCTCTGGCATGCTGTGATTGTCTCGCCTTATTATAGAGGTGACCCAGCTTAGCGAGCCAAATCGTTTATACGGAGAAAAACTGGCTCGGCTATTAGGGTGACCCTACCATCACAGAAAGGTAACCCGGCTAGGCCCGTCACCCTTCTAACCGAGCCAACTTTTTGTTTCTCGTGTCAACGGTTCGCCAAGTTTTGTAAGGATATTTAGAAAAAGTTGGTTTGCCCAGGTTAGGTCGGGAAGGAGAGTGACCCTTTCACACAAGACACGTTTTCTCCATATAAACGAAGTCTATAGTAAGTAAAGCAATCGAACAAACAAACAACTAATTATTGTCATCACTTAAATCAGAAAGGATTATTAAGTATCATAAGGTCGGTTATATACTAACTTATTAATACGATCAGTTTTTTATGATCCAAACTGTAAACACTGAAGTAGGAAGCTGGGCCCTGAAAGTTGATGGAAACGAGGTTGTCTTGGCCAACTTTTTAATTCGAATCGTTAGTGTAAATTGAAATAAACTCTCCTCTTTATAATTACGCTGATCAGATATCTTTGCACGAGTCGCAACCGCTATGAGAAATACGTTTTCTACAAAATTCCATTAAGGAGGAAAAATTGCAAAAATCCTTAGTTTCTTGACAAAAAGAGGAACGTGAAGTCACAAAATTAAAGTGGACAGTGATAGAGGCAAACAATGTCAAATTACCCTCTGCTGAAGTATAAGCTCAATGTTTTTCTTTGTGGTATAAAGTAAGATGATATCTGGTTCAAGACTTTTAATTTCACTCATTGCTGTCATTATCTGTGACTCTTCATCTCCAGTTTGCATCTTCCCAGAAAGATGAACTAGGTTCACAGTGATCTTGAGTGGCTTGGATATGGCGTGGAAATATCCTGCTTCGTGCACACGATTTTCTACAAACAGTAAGTGAAAAAGTATTTTTATAGGCAAATAAATTTTAATGATTTTTTTTTTCAAGTAGAAAAAAATCTGACTTGTTATTCTACTAAATTCGTAAGAACTACTTGTACAGCTATTTATATTAATCTGTTGAATTTGCCCAACAGACAGAAGGAAGAAAAAAACCATTGCTTTTCATAAGCTTATGAGAGAAAAGTTAGAAGGAAAGAAACGAATAAATTGATTCACGGCAAAGCTTGTCCTAACCATTTACAGTACACGTCATACAAATTACTTAGACTTGTTTTTACCATCGAAAACAAGAGCAACTTTATCCCATTGGAATGTGCTGATTATGTCAAGAGAGGCCTGTGCGTAATCTTTGTATCCCGCTGACATGTGTACCACGGGCCCACAGTGATCCAATTGCATGCTGTTTCCATGGAGACGGAAAAAAGGAATGCTGGTTACTGCGGATAGCACGCATGTAGAACTGTTTGTGTAGCTTCCTTCAATAAATGTAAGCACATTTTCCCCAAGAAACATTGAAGCTGAAAATTAAATGAAAACTACTTTTGCTGACAGAAAATAATAGTAAAATAATATGAAATTAAATAAATAACTAAATGTGACAAGTATAAAATCAGTATAATAATGACCTTATCCATATAATTTTGCTTTTTAAGTAATGATTATTACCAATGATTTATTGATGATCGGTCAAGCCGTCCTTTTTTGGGAGCTGAGAGAAACACGTTTTTTTCTTCCTTATTCAGGCTTATTCATAAGAAATGATACCGAGAAACAGTCGCGACAAGTGATTGTTTTTACCCAGACACGTTAATTTTGTCAATGTAAGCAACGATGACGATGTCCAAAATACTGTGGGCATTTTTTCCTTCTTAGCCTCTCACGTAGTCGTTTTTGTGTCGTTACGTTACACAAAGCTCCTACTGCCAAATCTTGGTCTCACCAAGAGGTTTCTTGGGGACGAACGTTGTGTGAAGAGTCAATAACAGTTGCATGGGAGACTACTTCTTTCTCAAAAAATCAATTTCTATTGGTCCAAACACATTTTCAGTATCGATAATGGAAGAAGAGCAGGTAGAAAAAAGCATCCCTCACCTTTATCAAACAGGTTTATGTCTTCAGATAAGTTGAAAGTTTTTAAGATTATCGAAACATTGCTAAAGACAAACTCCTTATTCACAGAAAAATTGACGGCTTCATACTCCTCTGGAGATTCATTGATAACACCTGTGGTCATTGGAAAAAAAAATAGTTTCGTTACGTAGTGTACCAACAAACTACAGCCGAGACCTTGTCAAACCCGATTTATCAGGATACTTAATGGTGAGATGCCGATAGACAAGTTACAAACAAAAAATATACAAGCGTAAGCAGGTTCGTTCATTTTCATCAAAATCACCTGTTTTCGGTTGCTTTTATAAACTAATCCAGGAGAGGAAGTAACCGTGTGGAAAGAAGACTTAGTCTGATTCTTCCAACAAAGATAAAACAGGAAAAGCAGACTGATAGCCTTGCTAGATATTTTCTTACAAGACAATAGATTTAGGGGGTCACAGGTAAAAGAACTGGAGACGCTTGAAAATTAATGAACTTTCTTTTCTGACCGAGTTTGCTTTAAGAGCTATTGAGTCCCCTTAAAGAATTCTAAGTGCATGACAGCGAGTCTAAGAGTTACACCTTGAGAAATGGGGACCTTTCTTTGATCATGCTACAAATGATTTGACGTACTGTGAAATCAAAGCTGAATGGCTTCGACGAAAATTACCTTTGTACGATCAGTGGGAAGTCAGTATATTCTAACAAGAGTGTTGAAAACTAGTGAACTACAAAACGTAAACAAATTATAAGACCAACTACCTACCGAATGTAAATTTTCTATTTGCTGCCGTCTGTACACTCCTCGTGGACAGGATAGCAGAGATAAGTACTGTGAAGACGGTTGATTTTTCCATCTAAGTAAAGATTCAACAATTCAAACAAAGTTAGATGGAAATTCATAACGCCATTGAAATTTGATACCAAATACTTGCGCCATAAATGTCCAGAACTTGTTACACGTACTGAGAATACGGAATACTGAATCTAATGATGCATTTAACAAGTTTTGTGTAAGTATATTTGTAAGATGCCACTTAGGAAAAATTATGACCTTGCAAAATATGCCTTAGTTACTATTCATTAAAACTATTTTTAAAGATATTCAGGGTAGGAATTCAGCATGTTTTTGGTTTCAAGCCAATCGTAGAACCGCCGAAAAAAAATCGTGGCAGCTGTTTAACTGTATCATGCAAATATCGCCTCGAAACTTATAAATTTTTCTTGACAACTCTCAAATAATACTTTTTAGTGAGAGACGTAGAAAGCGGGTCTACGATTAACTTTCTAATATTTTTGCCTTTATCCGGCTAGCGGTAAATTTTTCTTCCTTTCGGTTAACAAAACCTTAAACAATCTCAGTTTTTTCAAATAATGTTTTAGATAAACCCTTACAATCTATTTCATTTGTTTCTAAACAACTAAGCAAAGGTCTTAGGTCCATAACGGGATAATTGTGTTAAAGAAAGTTATCAATTTGTTTCAATTATTCTTTTTCGACATAAAACAGTCAAATTTAGCGCGAAACAAGTTTATAAAGTGAAAAAGAAGAAATTCTCTCTCATGTTTAATGTTAAACACACACTGACTTCATCACGTTTTATAGGTTTTTTTTTTATATACACGTGGCTTAAAGAAAACGGCCCCGAAACATTTTCACCTTCGACGACGCGTTACAACGGCCTTGTTCAAAGTTTTGTCGTGCTCAGGATGCGATCCATGAGGCAAAATGTAACGGAATACAAGACAGTCTTGTATTCTGGATTCCACGCTGTCGATTCCGGATTCCAGACTTTGTAAATGGAATTCGGATTCCGGATTCTAATCGTTAATGGGATTTCGGATTCCTTAAGCTGTATTCCGGATTCCAAAGCCCAAGATTCCTGATTCCACAAGCAAAAATTCCTGGGATTCCGGAATCCGGATTCCCTAAAATTATTACATGGTGCGACCTCAACATGGCGATATTCGTTGTGGCGAAAAGTTTAGCCGCCCTATTATGCTCCATGTTTCTTTACCATAACAGGCGGCCACCTTGTTTATATGTGCTTGTCTGTTCTTTGCAAGAGCTCGATGGCTTTTAGCTGCTTTGGCAAATTTCTCCCATCAAACATGAGGCAATGAGCTGCTTAGCCTTTTCCAGTCCATCAAGCTTTTTAAACACAAAACTTCATTTCGTGCGCAGCAAAACCAATCATGTAGAGAAACAGACAGTTATTCAACAATGGATGAATAATTGATGCAACTATATTTTACGGTTGAAAAGTAGTTTATTCGGGTACTAGACCCAACTTCGGATTAACATCAGCTCATGAAAATTTTGTCTGAACTGGGGCTTGCCAACACCAGCACAGATATTAGCCCTCTAATCACGCACCCAGTTAACTGTGGAAAAAAGACACTTGTAGGAAGTTTTGAAAGCAAATTGATAGTTAGTTTGAAGAAGCAACCGAGGCTTTATGAATAGCAGGGGTTGTGTCTCTATCAATCATTTGGCTTGCTTCCCGTATTTTTTATTATTTCTATCAATATGTTTCGTCTTCTTATTATCAACGTGCGTAAACGTGCTTACCTGTAAAAAAGGAACGCACACGCGTGCGTATGTGTCTGAAGGTACACTCCTACTGGGCGTATACTACTAAAACGTTTTGCCGTCTCAAGGGTAACAGTTAACTCCTCCGCTCACCTCTTCTTAATGACACTCTCTTTATACAAGTTAAATCGATACTGAATGCCATAAAGGTTGCTCCATGCATAATAATGTTGATACTAAACATAATAATAAAATTTTAAGCCGTTTATGAATGAGCCTTACATTTTAGTTTTTGCCTTTTGTAAAAAAGTGCGCAACAGTGGGTACGTCTGGTCCTTGAGCAGTAAAGCAATAGTTTGCTACTTAGAAAACAAATGTGAAGGTTAACGTGGCGTTCTCAAACACTGACAGACATTCTTAAGACACTTCATTCCCGTTAACATTTAAATATTTATCAGCTTTATGCTAAAGTTAATTCATTCCCAGCTTTGGTCTTTGCTTTTTTACAGTTATTTTTGCAGAATGCAAAAATTGTCTCTCTGAAAGTCTTTCCTACAGTGGAAACTTTTTAATCATTTCCATGTCTTTTCCGTGTAATATACATGTAGGTACATTTACTTGTTGAAGTTGAATTATTTAGTAGTTCTTTTGTCAACATTTTATATCCTTTTTCGAGTTTCTAAATGAGTGAAATGCGCGTGTTTGGCCGGTGAAAGTACTACAAAGAAAAAAATTATTTTAACAAGAGATCTCCTTTATTTGTGAGGATGAGAAATTTTTTTTTTGTCTCTCAATATAATAATAATAAGGCCGGAATGAAGATTTGACTGTCAGGTTAAACATATAAAAGAATAAAGAAGGGACACTTTCGGTCTCTGAATGAACCCTTTTAAGCATTCTAAAAAAATAACAATCTGAGCAAACAAACTGCCTTTAGCATAAGGGAGAAGTCTCTTAAATTCATGAAAATGTTGTGGCATTTCGTATAGAAATTATCTTTAATTTGTCATTTTTAGATTGTGCTTGAGATATATAGTTAAAGGCAGAAAGATGTTCTTCCAATAAAAGTTTGATACTAGGCAAACCGCTAATAAAAATAATCGATTTCGTGATTAATAAATCATTCTCAAGACCGATAATTTCTATTCATGTTTAAATGATTTTTAGCAAGGGACAGAGTACGTAGGAAAGAATTTTTAAATCCAATACTTACTTTTCCCTTTTGTACAAAAGCTTTTAAGGTACACTAAATCGTGTTCAAGTCGTTAAGTCAACAAAGGTGAAATGGATGGTGAGTAATTATGTTTGGAAAAATACCGTCACCTGCTGCTTTTTAATTAAATCATTTATTTTCTTAAGCCCTGAAAGAATTCTAAGTCTTGTGTCTGCGGCTGATATAATCGTACACTCCTAAATGAAAGCTGCTGTGCAGTACTTTCGTGTGGTGCATATAGGCATTATGCTGTTTTGTCTTCGCTATACAAGGTGGTTGTTTTGAGTCTGTAAAACACTGTGGCGTTACCCCCTGTAACCAAAACCTCTGCGGAATATGTGTTACACCATGTAAGGCAATCTGTCTTCCGAAATCCGGGAAATTTTTGCTTGTGCAACTCGGAATCGATATCCTGGGCTTTCGAAATCGGACTTCAGCTCAAGGAATCGGGAAACCTACTTTTCAGATTGATATCCGGAAAACAGGTTCGATTCCACCGATAAGGAATCCAGAATCCAGTACCTGGAATCCGGAATCCACAGTTTAGAATCCACAATCCAAGACTCTTTTGAATTACCTTACATGGGACGATTTGCGCCTTTTCATTGCACCACTATAGACTGAAATAAACTTCTTGGAATCCTGATTACAGCCCGCTCCTTCTCTCATGATTGCACGTATTTCCTCTTCTTCTCACAGACAAACTGTCTTCTTCGCAGGCAGGGTCTTCAGGCTCTTGTCAGGTTTTAATAGTTAAAGACAGGTAATTAACAACTTACATGTGTTTTGTAGGAGATGGTTAATTAAGAGGGGTGAGGGGGGAGTATGACGTCATCTAGGACCCATCATAGCATCTAGGGTAATCCCTGTAATGACTTGGGTGGTTATACTAAATATATACAACTTATGAATAGCACATGTTAAATACACTGATCACCATGAAAACTACGTGAGACACCTTATTAACTAAATTATACGTGACAAAGGTTAAGGGTGTGCCAAAAAGTTTCTTTTCGCTGATTGGGGTTGGCAATGCCTGCTTAGCAACAATGGAAAGAGCAGGGACAAGAGTACTTAGGAAGAGAGAAAAGAGAACACCTTGGGGCCGGCCAACCCGGTGTATCTTTAATTGCATTGACCTTGACTTTGAAAACTTTGTCGGAAAGCACTGAAAAAACAAAGAAAAAAAAAAGAAAGTAAAACTCGCCTCTACATGGGACTAAATAGTTGAAATGCAGTATTTTTATTGCTGTAACCATAGTGCGAGACTGTGTAATGATGAGATGATTGATATACAATTAGCGTATTTTCCTTGATTAAACATCACGCCACGAAAGAAAAAGGAGGCTTTAAAAACCCGGTCCCCTAAGACATTTATTTGTAATAAAATATATTAACTTATTATAAGTTGTTCCTTAAAAATAGCGGGCACATTGACTGCTGATCAAAGTAAACGCTCGGTGCATTACTTGGCCAAGATCGTTTCGTTGAGTAAAAACGGTATCTTGAAAAGCTTTTAAGGTAGATCAACTCGTCAAGGGGACAACAGCAAACGTATTCATGATCACTTTAATTAATATTTCTAGCGCTACCAAACCCATAAAATAGTAATTCACAAAAATTTACACCTTGCTTAATATAAGCTATGTAACTGGAACAACACAGTGTATGATATGATTCTGGGGTGCAGTTGACTAATTGATACAGGTGTTTGAACTTCCTACTCGCTAAGCAGGCATTGCCAACCCCAATCAGCGAGGTGTTTGAACTTCCTACTCGCTTAAGTCCGGGTAAATGTAATTACTTAATATCTTTCTTGCTTCTAGAATCAGTTAACGTTTGTCATATTTCATACAAATACAAGTTTTGTTAGCTGAACTTGATGGCTGATTGTGTTAAGATAATTTCATTGAATAAAATTCGTGATTTATTTAATATAGTATAGGACACAGTTGACGGCTCTGTGTTCGCTTCACCGAGTCGGGAAATTTCTACATACATTTCATGTTTTCCAGTATCAACATGATATTAATTTGAGGAGGACTCGGAAAAAAAATCCGAGTCCCAGATGGGATTTGAACCCACGACCCTCCGTGATCTAGTCGGATGCTCTAACCACTTGAGCTACTGGAGACTCTATGGTGAGCAAGGGCCAATTTGTGGGTCTCGACTTGAACCGCATCACGCGGCTACACA